AAATCTTTCCAACGCATATAGCCAAAAATGAATAGAGATTTTGCCTACATTCATCACCGTTTAAATTTCATCGCATGGTCACGATTGTCTAGTAGTGTTTTATTTTTCATTTTTTTATTCTACAAATCGGAATGACCGAAAATTTGGAGGGTATATACATCTTACTGAGGTGCATCTAATAAAAATATAAAAAAATTTATCTGTGAGAAAGAAATTGACCAAAATACCCCTAAAAAGTTTTGGAGGTATTTTGGTCAATTTTTTTCATGTAAAATATTGTTTTTATAATTTTCGAAGATTCCCCTATTTTTGATGATTACACTCTCCAAATTTCAGGTCATTCTGATTTGTAAAAAAAGAAAAATGAAAAATGAAAAAATTATCGGACAATCGTGACCGCACGATGAACTTTGGGCGGTAATGCGGGTAGGCGAAATCACTGTTCATTTTTGCCTATAAGCGTTGCATAGTATTTTCATATATATATATATATATATATATGAAGATGCTACGGTACACCGACGGGTGTACCTATAAGAATACACCGAACAGCCCAAATTGAATTTGGGCCGATCTGACGGTCACGAGATGCCCACGACCTCATTTCATATTTGAATTTTAATATTTTTTCTATAAATCCAAATGACTTGAAATTTTAGGCGTGTTTTATTCTCATCAATGCGCACCTAATAAAAATATCACAAAAATAATTCACTAAAAATAAGTTAACAAAAATACCCCCAAAATATTTCGTTGTATTTTGGTCAATTTATTTCATGTAAAATTTTGTTTTTATATTTTTATTAGATTCGCCTATTTTTGAAGAACAAACACCTAAATTTTCAAGTGATTTGGATTTGTAAAAAAAAAAAAATTCAAATTCAAATATGAAATAAGGTCGTGACCGTCAGATCGGCCCAGATTCAATTTAAGCCGTTGGACATTTACTGTAGCAGTACACACATGAGCATGCAAGATCTATTTTCATATATATATATATATATATGGGCAAACTTTCTATGCTTCCCCTACAACATAAAAGTTCTATCCTTCCCTTATCCAACTGTCCATTCTAAATGGAGGGCTAAGATTGCCCCAATCACAATGTAATGTCTCTACGCTATTTTATTTTTAATTTTTTTCCTATAAACTATTTTGATACCAAATTTTGGACGTCCATTACTTTATTATGCTCGCACTAGTGAAAAATATAAAAACAATATTTTGAATAAAATAAATGACCAATATACCCCTGAAAGATTCAAGGGGTATTTTGGTTGTTATATTTTATTACAAATTTATCTTTAATATTTTTTATAGGGTGACATGTACCAAATTTCACATTCATACAATTTTCATTAAAATAAAATAAAATACTTTAAGATGTCGAATTTAAGATCAAATGGTGACTGACTCTCTTGATCAAAATTGGACAGCTAGATG